CAAGCCAGGAAGAATATGATGTTGCCACTTGAGTACCTACTGCCAGTCAGTGGGCACTTTGGGTTGCAGCTGTGAAAATGGCACTCACTTCACAGAACTTCACCACATCGTAGCATCTTTCTTCTTTTGTTCGCTCTTTTGCGGTTTTTTCAAGTATCATTAAAAATTTTTGGGGGTGTGTGTGTGTGTGTGTGTATTCAGATTTTATAGTACTTTCTGCAGGGCAAGCTAATCTGGCATCATTATGTGCTTTGTACCATAGTTGCAGAATTGAGATGAAATGAGGTATGTTGTCAAAAGAGCTTAAGTGACAGTAGCAGATAAAGAATTAAGCATGAAGTTTTTAAATGACAGTGTCAGGTATAGTATAATGAGGTGTTAGGTTGTACGATACTGGTGATAATTTTAAAAGATGACAATGCTGGAAGTAACCTGCATCTCTATTGAACAGTCCAACAAAGAGCAACTGTTTATTTAAGGTCATATAACATGGAGCTATTAGCCCAAAATGCTGCAGCTTTGTTTTCCCTTATTGGTTAGTGAATGAGGAAACATATTGCTAAATCAAAGATTAATTTTGAAATGAGGTAGGGCTTGAACTGATGGAACTGGTTTACAATTTGAGTTTGCTATTGAAGAAAAGATGGACTTTAAGTCTTAAATTCTTTTCTCTGTGTGAGAGGATGCCCTTACAGGTTCTGTTCCTGGTGTTTAATCCGATACCTGTTTTCATGTTGCCGTTACCTAGTGCACCACCTGGTGGGATTTTCCTACCACCCTCCTCCAAGTCCCTTGCTCTTCCCCATTGATTTCTCCCATATTATTACAATATTTAGTGCTTCATAAACAGTCATAATCCATCCTTCTGCTATTTAAATATATCCTAATATTGCAGATATAGACATTGGCAGACATTCCAGCATCCTATTGCCAACATATGTTTATCAGATTCTTTGGGAATCCATCTTTGGTTTGAAAAGTAGAGATGCATACTGCATTGTGTCTTCACATCTGGATATGATACTCTATTACACAGCTACTATTCACTCCCTTAAATGAGAAACCATAAAACAAAGTTAGCAACAGGATATAAATTTTAAAAATTTACAACGCAATGGAGTTAAATAACCTGCTACTGAATGACCAATATGTCAATGAAGAAATGAAAAAGAAAATGAAAAACCTTCTTGGGGAAAATGATGCTACTGTGTGATCTATGAGTCAGCGTAGAACTTAATAAGAGAAAAGAAACTATTTTGCAGAAATGGAAATAAAAACAAAATATAAAACCAATGAATTACAGCAAAACAGTATTGAAGGGGCTATTGATCTTGTATTTTGCAAGGAAGTTGCCTTATATCAGAAAGAGCATAAGGCATTTGTCCTTTTGGGATTAGCTTACTTTCCTGAGCATAATGGTCTCTAGTTGGGACCTTCAGAGGTCTCTGATCACTTTAAAATCCACTGTTTGTAGTTAAGTGGCCATTTTTCCATTCCAATTACTGTTTGTATTCATTGTCTCTATATTCCCACTAGACTAGGGTCTTTTTGCCTTTTATTTTTTAAACTTATTTTAGGTACACTTTTAAGCCTTTTACTGTAATGTAAATTTGAAGCATGCTATCTCAGAAACAAAAGAAAGAGAAGGAATGGGGAGATGATGGCAGAGAGGAAGGGAATATCATGTTTTAGGATTGTATCAATAAGCCAATTTGAATCTGTTCAAAAAACTAAAATTGAAATTATTTAAAATAACTGGAAAATCATGGAGGCATACTAACTTTGCTGATCTGTTTAACCCTGAAAGTTTTCTGTCTACCTGAAAAAGAGGAAGAAACAGAACAATTTGTTTACCCATATCCCAGTCTTCTCTGTGCCATGCAACCAATGGATGCTGCTTGGATTTGCTCTCCCTGAGGCTTCTAGGTGACTGAAGTTAGGGGTCTCTGTTAGAAACAAATTATTGTCCTATACTGAGACATTTGGCTCTGTAGTAATGACTTCTCAATGTTTCTAATGCACAGTCTCCACATACTTTGTTTAACAGGTATTCAGTTTTCTGCTTGCCTAGTTCTAAGGGCCCTCTGCTCTGTGCTTCTAAAAAAGCTAGTGAAGGGAGGAAGTCCAGTAGGGCTGCTCATCTCCTATCCCCTTTGGGGGATGCATGGTTGAAATCAACAAGATAGAATCAGTGGAAATGATGCATTTCTTACCTGTTCCAGAAGAAAGCTGAAAAAGTTTGCAATTTATGCTACTGCTGTTCGATTCTAGCACTTTCAGATCATGACATCTGATTATCAACTAGGGCAGTTTCCTAAAGCAATTGTTTTTATTCAGGCAAATATTTTGGTTTGTCAAACACCTACTAGGTATGTAAATACTCTTCCCACAAGAAATTCATCTTATGTGTTGGATTTGCTGTTCAAAAAGTAAATGTTTCTAAAATATTTACATGACTTATCCCAATTAGAACCTAATTTACCCAATTGTAAGCTTTACAATTTTAGTTGTCGTGTTTATAAATAGGCTAGTGTGTGTGTGTGTGTGTGTGTGTGTGTGTGTGTGTGTGTGTGTGATTCATATATTTGCAGTAGGATTCCCATGATCTGAACTCCTAAGGAAAAATTATCAACTTGAGGTCTCCTGGAATTTTTGCCTGGTTTTGTTGTGGCTTTTAAATGGTTCTGAGCAGCTTCCTCTGATGCCTCCCCTGTGGTGCTTTGCCTTTTTGGAAAGATCTGTTCACACAGTAGAGGTTCATGTTTAAAACTGGGATTCTACCTTTTGTCCCACACTGCCCCCTCCCTGGCCCGAGTCTTACCTGAAGAATGGTTATCTTATGGTCTTTGAGCAAAGGATGCTGTGAATGGACCTCAAGGGCTCACAACTTATTTTTATTTCTTCTCCTCTACTTTCAAAGATGTGGGATAAAACCTACTTAAAAGTCTGCCGAAAGTACCTTTTCATCTACAATTGGTAATTTTTTTCTATGAATTTTCTGTATCTGGGGCACTTTTGTTGTTTCCAGTCCTTCCTTTTTTTCTGTTTTTTTTTTTTTTTAATGTTGGTAAACTACATCATGGTTTGCCCTGGTGTGATCATCTACACCCTCCTTCAGTGCTGTTTATATTTTACTGCATCATTTAGCCATGATTCACTATTCTTTGCTCTTATTTCCTCAAAGGCACTTTTAATTTTTTTAACCCCGTCTTTAACTCCTCAACTGTATAGAGAATATTTAGTTATGTTAACCCTTTGTGATGATCTCATTTATCTTCTTAATCATAAGGAAAGAGAATATGTACATTCATCTGAGACGCTTTCAGAGAGTCTGTGATGGTAAAATTGTGCTGAGCTTTAGGGTTAAATCAAACTGAATGTGAATTCTGATTCCAAAAAGTGGCGATGTCCTTAGGAGAGGGATTGCAATTCTCGGGTCTTAATCTAATGCTCTATTTAATCAGGATAATAGTGGTGACCTGATGAGATCTAAGGTGCGACACTGGACACATCGTAAGTTCCTGTTGCTTATTAGCATTGTAATTTTTATTTTATTATAATCACTATTAAGCGGATCATCTCACTTTTAAATTGAGAACAAATTGGCAGTGGTACTGCATTAGAAAGAAACAGTAGTCAGGTGTCCTTGAGGAGTTGATCCCGTGTTGAAGATGGTAAGATGTATACTCAAGACTACAAAGACAGCAACACATATTTATTTTTTGGAAAATTGTGTAAATACTGCAAAGTTTTTTAGCTTATGTGTCACATAACAGTCTTCATGGTTTATTTGTATTTTCAAGGTTAGACAGTGAGGGTCCAGTGTTCTGGCCCAACAAGTTCAACCATTTGCTGCAGTGCCAACATCCTACAGGAACACTGGTTCAAGTCCCAGCTGTCTGACTTTGCATTCAGTTGCCTACTAATGCATCTGGGAAAGCAGTGGAAGACGGTCCAGGTGCTTCGTCCTAAGAGCTGAGATGGCCAAGTGCTTAGCCTGACTCAGCACCTTTGCAACCATTTCAGGAGTAAACCATTGTCCAGAAGACCACTTCCCCTCTCTCCTTCTTTCCCTTTGTCACTTTGCCTTGCAATTAATAAAATAAACCTTAAAAAAAAAGGATTAGCGGTTTGAGACTTAAAGAATGAGGATTGATACAGAAGCCTGCAAGCTACAAAATCCACGAAGGCACTTGCCAGACTGTTATATTGATCTTTCTAACTTGGCTAGCTGGATTTGAACCTCTGTGCTCCAATGCTTCCCAGAGGAACCTGCCAGGTGTTACCAGAGACACACAGTAAATGTCACTGGAGGCTTCCTTTGACTGAATGTGGTTGATTGCACCCTCCAGCTGTCTGCCTATGTGCATGTCAGATGGCTTGATCCTCTGTGTGCCTATGTTGAGAAGTAATGGACCTTTAAGAAATGGAGTCTAGTGGAAGATTATTAGGCCATCAAAGGCATCACATTTGGAAGCAATTCACTTAGTTCTCAGGGACCCCCAGTTCTTGCAATAATTAGGTTGCTATAAAATGAGACTGCCTCCTGGGCTTGGCCTCTTCACCTTCATCCATTTCCTTTTCTGCTTCTTCCCCACACTGTGATACAGCCAAGGGAGCCTTGCTGGAGGCCAGATAGATGAACTAGCCTGATTTGGAGCATGTAGCCTCCAAAACTTTGAGGTGAATAAACCTCTTTTCTTGATCACAAACACTCAAGGCATTTGCTACAGCAACACAAAATGGACTGCTACTTGTCCAGAGTAGGCTCCTCTTGTGTTGGAGCCAAAACCAAGAGGACTCTTGAAAGAGGTCACATTTGAAGTGGACCGTGTCTTTGGACAGGATTTAATAAGAGGGCTGGAAGAGGAAAGGTATAAATAATAGGAAGATACTGAGTTTCTGGAAGTGCTTGTATTAGCAAAGCACACACATTTTACCATATAGTGATACCGGTGTGTTTTATGCCATATAATAAGGGTCATGGATTATTGTGCCCAATGGCCTGTGAGCGATTCCAGGGCATCCAAGTTGTGTCCCATGATCAGAACTCTGGTTTGATAAAGCTTCCTTTGTAGCATGATGGGTAGTGGTTGCGGAGGGGCAATGGGTGGGACTATAGGAAAATGGATTAATGCTCCAGGTGGGAAGCTTCTACAAGCATCTCACAAAGGTGTAATGAGAGGCCAACTTCGAGCAGCATGGGCAGGGGAGGAGGGGAGAACACCAAGGTGAAAGGCAGCAAAAGGTGCTGGACACTGCAGGGAGAAGACTCTGCTCCCAGCTGTCAGAAGCTTCAAAAGACAAACTGTCCACAGCCCCAGCAGAGCAGTCTGTGCTGCAGCTCCAGAGCTGAGAGGTCTTCGCTGGGGTCCAGACCGTGCCTTGAGTATTTGCAGTGACCTCCTGAGCGCTGCTCGCATGTTGCTTTCCTTTCTGTTGGGTGGCGGGGGGGGGCAGTGGATGGAGGGTGACTTTGAAGAACTCCTGCAATCTCCTGGATAAACTCTGGGGGTCTTACAATTCCAATCAAGCAGGGGTTCTGGTTGCGTCCCTCTGTTTCCCAGGATAAATGTCAAAAGGACAGCGCAGTTTTGGTTTGAGGTGGAATGATGAGTATATGAAAGGGAAATTCTATGGGAAGCTCCATTTTTTTTTTCTGATCTATCTTTGCAGATAGCATTAATTTTTGTTGTTGTTACAAGTGAAAGAAAATGCATGCTATTCATTGAAGGGCAGGTTAGGGGCAAGTCCATTCAGGGATGTTGCGATCACCATTTGCAGGCTTTGAGTAATGCTCGATTTCTTTCTTGTCTCTTTTGCAATTTTCGTGGTTCAGTGTTTGTCAGGTTCAACTCCAGCCATGGTTTCCCAGTGGAGGTCGATTCTGACACCAATATCTTCCAGCTGAAGGAGGCGGTTGCTAAGCGACAGGGGGTTCCGGCTGACCAGTTGCGTGTGATCTTCGCAGGGAAGGAGCTCGGGGACGACTGGACAGTGCAGGTGAGTTTCCCCAGGGTCCATTGCTCCTGGGATGCCAGCAGTCCGATCTCCAGCGCCACTTCCGCCTGCCAATCTGGCGTGTATGCCTGAGGTTTAATAGAATAAATAGTGCCCGGGGATTCCTTGAACTTTACTCCACACTGCTTCATTAATTTTGACCTTCTTAATTATGCATTAAAACAGCAAGCAGGAAGGATTGGAAGAACCACTGTGAGTCTGGTGAGGGAATGTGGGGCGCACGAGCTGGGCGAAATGAATAAATGTTTACTGACTGTAGGAGCAGCCAGACACGATTTCTGTGTCTGCTCAGTTCCTACCTGGCTTATTCCGTTTGCATCTTAATGAAAAAGGATTCGGATAAATTGCTCCCAGTCAGGTTGCTCAGCCACTGCGCTGTAAGGGATTTGTAACCCGAGTGTGACCCCTGGAGGACAGTTGGGGCTGCCTTTGCCTGTGCAGGGAGAGGTGGGGGCTGCTTTTGCCTGTGCGGGAGCCCAGGGTGCTTCTGGGGCCCCATTGGGAACAGGCGCTGAGAACCCCCTTCCCAGTTACAGAGCTTGATGAGACCAGAAAAAGCCTCAGCACAGCAAAAGTATACTTTCCTGGTGATTGTTCCAGAATTTTGTCAAATTTTCCTGGCAAAGGCCTCTGGCCACTATAGAGAGCCTTGCATGTGTTCTTTCCTGATCCCTGGGGTTCCAGGCACCACATGGCATCGCAAGCATGGCGGGAAACCTCAGCAGACAGCTGGTGAACAGGACTGTGACCTGGAAGTCACAGTGGCTGGGAGGAGCCAGCAGATGCAGTTCTGTGTGTGTTCAAGTGACTCTGTAAACGCTGCTGAATGATCCCAGCGTCACTTTCTCCTTTTGGAGCAGGCCCACCAGTTCAGTCCCGAGGCCTTTGGAGGGAGGCCCTGCCTGTAGTTACATCCTTTCACTAACTCTTCTTTGCCCTGACACTTGCTGCTCTGTGAAGTGCCTTTGGCATTTGAGTACAGGAAGGAGCCTTAGATGCAAATTGATGCCCTCACTCTCCTCTCCTGCTTGTGCAGGGGAGCCACAGGCTCATTGTGCAGAGTGCTGTGCTTTGGCTTTTAGGCAATTTGTTTTTATAAAGGAGAAGCAAAAGCCAAAAAGTGTTTTGGTACATTTTATTTTTAAAATTTCATTCAACTAAAAAGCTTTTCACTGTACCTGCCAGCTTCTAAATCCAGGAATATTTCCTTCACCAAGACATGACTTTAAAATAGCTCTTTGAGTGAAAACATTTTACATTAGCAAAAGATCTAGGTGTTGAAGTTACTGACCTCTGCCCTTTGAGCTGATTGGTAAAACAACCAGCTACTTCACATCCAGTTGAAATAATTGATACAGATGAATAATTTCTATAAACACATGTTTACGGTATCTGTGGACTCACTGTCCTTGTTTCGGTAAACACCTCTTGAAGTAGTGCTCTGAACTGTTCTGAGCTGCTTTGCGTATTCAAAAGAGAAGTCAAATGCAGGCTCTGCCTTTAAGAGGTTGCTCTTCATTTAGGTGGTTCTAAAACAGAAATATTAGGTAGAATTGTTTGAGATTGTCATTTATAGAATATTACACCAGCAATTATACTATGGTGGTTCAACCAAATAGTCATAAGAATGTCAAGCATAACCACTGTGATAACTGCAACTGGTGAGTAAGCATCAGGAAGTTCAGTGGTGGATGAAACACATCCGAATCACCAGGAAGAACTCCAAGGATGAACTCAACTCAGGTAGGATTCCACAGATGGAGGACTGAGAACAGAAAATACTTGGCAGAGGAGATGTGAAAGACTGGGCAAGCGGTGTTGTTGAGTTTGGTCCAGGGTACAAGGTTCCAGAAGGAAAAGGTGGTGCAGTGACGAGATGGAAGAAGACGTGGTAAAAGAGGCCTTTGGGCTTGGACTGCAGGTCAGTACAGCGTTTAGTGAAACTAGAGGGTGGAGGTTTGCAGGAAGCAAGGCCTGGCAGGATGTCATTTGCTCAGCTCGGAACTTCACAGCAGAAATGTGTGCATATGAGGGGTGTTCTTGAAGGAGAAGTAGACCCTGTACCTTTGTTAAAACTTTTGAGGCCAAGATGTCTCTGGAGTCCTAGAGTACACTAAGCCATCATGGATGCTAGTCAGAAAGAAAGGACCCTGTTGGACAAGTTCCCGCAAATGCTTGATGCCAACATGTTGGATGAAATTTCTACCAAACATGAGAGGGTTTTACAATGGAAAGAAAGTTTACATTGAACCCACATAGTCTTGAACTATCAGGGGCAGGACAGTGGAATGTGGAGCAAGCTCTGGGTCCTGGGGTCTTCTGTAGGGAAAGCCCTTGTTGCTTCTGAAGTGCTTGGGGGTCTCAGCAGACCACCGTGTCACCCTGGCCATTGATGGGATTTCAAGTAAGGCTGTTAATATCCACTCAAGAATATGAAATGGGCTTTTGTTCTCAGCCTGTAGCTGTATACTAATTAACCTCTCCCATCTTTCCTCCCCTCTATCCTCTAGCCCTTGTAATTAAATTTATACAGCTAAGCTTTTTTACGCATCTCCACATGTACTGGTTCCTAGCCCTTGACATTATGCAGAGCTGACTTCTACACAGTCAAAATCAGTGTGAATATACAATTTCATTTTCTGATTATCTTTCACTTAGCATTAAAAGCATTTTCATGGTATATCATTTCCATTGCTAAGTGTATGGATTATACTCTAGACTGTTTTATATCATCATTTGGCTTTTAACAAGTTAGGTAATGTCAAGTTCTTAACATTATAAATTAAGGAAGACCAATTTTTAAGAACATATGTGATATTTGCAGAAGTTAAACTCTGAGTCTTTTTGCTCATTTGTAAAATGAGAAATACTTATTAACCATAGACTATCTTGTTCAAATGTTGTAAGCAGTAAATAAGCCAGTCAAGAAGGAGCAAAATGTGCAGTAAGCATTGGGCCCTGTTTTATTTTCACTCAAACTTTTTTCTAAAATACCTGTAAGTTTGTATCCACTTGTAAAGAAACAACATAGAGAAGTTTCCAGTCCTTTTTCTGGTTTTCTGAAAGGCAACATTTTTCCAAAGCAGAAAAATACATGGTCTCCTCTTTTTTTCGGTGGTCTCATTTACTAGTTTCAATTACTTGGAGGCAATTTTGGTCTGAAAATACCACTTATCATGATTCTTTAAGAAGAATAAGACATCAAGTTCCCAAACTTTGATTGCAATTATTGTTATTATTGTTGCTTATGTTTCACTGTGCCTAGTTTATCCCTTCTGTTTACCAAGGGTATGTTTGTGTACAAGAATAGCGAATACAAGGCTCATTGCTGTCTGCAGTTTCAGTCCTCAGACCCTAGGTCTGTGGTTCAGGGGTGCCTGCCGTGTCACCACTGTATGTCAGCATTTCTGTACTTCACATATGGAATATTTGTCACTCTCAGGCCCCCCCCTTGTCCTTTTACCACCACACCCTCTTTCTCTTCCTCCCACCTCTTCTGTAAACCTCAATAATCAGCAGGCTGCTCTGAGTCTGTTACTCATCACGGCTAGAATGTCATACAAATGGAATTCGGCAGACAACCTTTCAGACTGGCATGAATTCTTTCATAGTCATGAAAGGTGCTGTGTGTATGAATACTGTGTTTGCTTCCTTCCTAGTTCATTCTTCCATATATATATATATTACTGCTTAGTGGTATTCTGTGGTAAGGGTACCTACCCATATGACAACTTCTTTAAACATCCTCCCATTGAAACAACAGAGTTCTTTTAAGATTTTGGCAAATGTAAGTGTGCCTGAAATAATAAGTATCCATTCACAGCTCTTTGTGTTAATACTGAGAGTCTTCATTCATATTGGATAAATAACCAAGAACGTGAATACCATGTTGAATGGCAAATATCTTTTTCACTTTTTTAAAGTGCTGCATTATTTTTAAAGTGGCTCTATCTTTTTTAAATTAAGAACTAGCAATATGAAGGTAATCCAATTTCTCCAAGTACTCATTAGCATTTGGTATTGTCACATTTTATATTGTATCTGCTTCACCATTTCTCTAGATATTCATTAATGTGTTCAGAGCTGGTCACAATGTACTGTGATTGTCATTGTACAGTTTGCGTATAGTTGTCAACTCCTGATTCCCTTTATATCCCCAGCTATAGTGTATTTGCCTTAATTATTTTTTCTACTTTTTAAGCTACAGAAGATTATCTTAAAATTTTTTTTCAGTTCTCAAACATAATTCATAAAAGAGGAATAAGGCAGCCAAACTGTATTCTTTTCTTGTTCCTACGGCTCCAGTTTTCTTTTCTTACGTGCTTCATTTATGTTCAGAGAATATCATCTAGCTACATATTCACGGTAGCTCGTCTTGTGAAAAATTATCTTGGTTTGTCTTTACTTCAACATGTGTTGCTTTATCCCCGATCCCAACTGATTTTTTAATTTAATCTTGATTGACAATTCTTTTGATCATTTAAAAACACAGTGCCACTTCCTTGCATCCTTCATAGATTATGAAGAAAAATCTGCTGTCATTAAAATAGTTTCACCCCCTATAGAGAAACTAATAATTATGTGGCTTATTTCAAGAATTTTTTTTTTTTGCCTCTCATTGCTTTTAAAAAGGTGTATTTTGATGTCAGTTTCTTTGTATCTTTCCTCTTTGGAGTTTATTCAGCATGATACATCTATAGGCTTATTTTCTTAAGAAAATTCAGGAAATTACCCACCAGCGTTTCTTTGAGCAGTTTTTCACTTGTATCTTCTTCGGGACTCTCAGGATACAAGTGTTAAACTCTGTTATTGTCCTATAGGTCTCTGTGGTTCTGCTCTGCCTGTCCGTCCTTCCTTCCTTCCTCCCTCCCTCCCTCCCTCCCTTCCTCCCTCCTTCCCTCCCTCCCTCCAGCCAGCTGACCATCTATAATTCTGGTTTTCTTTTCTGGCCTCTTTTCTTTCCATTGCTCATTATGTTAATG